TTGGTATGATTTATAAACTATAAATTATTTATAAATGATTCAAGTATTACAGATATACGCATTTGATATCAAAATGTTCACTGAGGTATCAGATATTAGAGAAGGAAATACAAGCGTAGGAGAAAGAGCTACCCCATGGACCTAAGTAAATGATGGATGAGGGGTGGGATAAAAGTAGAAAAATTTTATTTGACAAATGTGTCCACCTTTAGAAATTTATTTGATTTTCATAATTTTATGTGTGCAGCTCAAAGAACATTTGATGATAGTTATCCTCAAGAAAAGAAATAGTTGATAAATCTTTTTGTCAGTTATTTCAGAGATTTTAGGGCTTGGGGAGACAGCTCAGTAGAATAAGCACTTGCCTGGTAAGTGTAAAGTCCTGAATGAGGAGAAACAATTCATGGCATAATAGGTCCCCTTTCCCTGCCCTCCTGCCCCCAAACAGCTGTACCTGCTAACAACCTGTGCAGCTACAGAAGTCACCTTCCAGCAGCACATTCAGCTACTGAACTCATCATTGGGTGAGGTCACCAGGGACTATAGGAGGGCCTCATAATCCAATTGCCTTCCTAAAGCTCCCTTTCTGAATACATTAGTCTTTTGGGCAACATTTTAGATCTATACCGTAATACAGGCTACAGTGTGATTCTTCTTAGATAGAGGTGTTACGTCACTTGTATTGCTGTTCCCCCACTTGTGGGCTGGGTGATGGCTGCATGAGAGAGGACTATGGATGTGTGGTAGTAGAATTAGTCACTTATTGGACTGACATAGTTCTGGATGTGACTGGATCTTTTTACTGAGGATAGAAGACTCACCCTGGATAAGACACTAATCAGTGGGCTTGCAGCCTGGGAGGAATATAAATGACAGGCAGCCTTGTGGGTTTTTTCTGCCTGTTATAGAATAAGCTGTTTCTTCTCTTCCAGGCCCCTCTGCTATCCTCACCTGCCTAGGAGGCAGTCGCCCATGGACTGAAAGCTCTACAACCTAAGCTCAAATAAACCTCTCGGCCTTTCACTTTCAGATGTGTGATATTTTACTCAACAATGGTGAAGCAAGTAGACATTGGGTATTTGGTTCTTGCAATGGGCTTAAATGGCAATGGAATATTATCCTTAATTTGAGGAAGCAGAGTACCGTGGTAACTGCCTAATGTCACAGGTAACATGGGTACCAGCACATCAAGTCTTTTCTACCTATCCCCTAATTTTTTTCCCTTCCATCATCTGACCTTGATATTGAAATTGGTTCCATTATTTATCTAAAACTACATACAGAAAAATACTAGTACTAAAGCAGCCAAGATATAGTCATATATGGATTTTATAATCCAAAAGATTTATTTTCCTTCATTAGTGTGAACCTGATCAATACAATCACATAGCTGTACCTTAATATTATTTTCTTATGCTCTAAAATCCAAAATATATTTAAGAAGCTGTTTTCTTTTTCTTATCTATTCCCTTGCTCCCTGAGTTCCTGTGAGGTGATGTTTGTATTATTTATTTCCTGGATATATACAGTTGTGTAGTTTACAATAGACTGACTATTCAATCCTTTGTACTCAATTAAATATTTTTAAAATGATGTCTTCTTTGCATACAGATACTATAAGATTTTGTATCATACTCAGAGCTCAAAATTGATCAGTCAAGTGTCTTTACTCCTCAGAGGGCTGATATTTTTACAGAAAAAAAATGTGCTACTATGGAGACAGAGTAGTGAAAGTAAATAAAAAAATACTGTCAGTCAGAAGAGAAAAACACCAAAATTTCTACTCCTAAAGAAATCCCCATAATAGGTAGAGGACGCTTAATAAGCCTAGAACTTCTGAAAGTGTTTTACCCGACGATTGGCAAAAACCAATTCTTGAAATAAGGACTTGCTGACACTGCTTTGTCACCCTGACTATGCCATCAACGCTTGAGTTTAACAATAATGAGCTTGCTCTGGAAGCTACATGCTTATATCTGCACCTAAAGAGTGGCTCTGTTCTGAGCCACAGAAAGACTTTAATACCTGGTGAGTCATCAAGTTGAACCCAACGAGCTGTGGCAAGATTTGAACTGGAAGCTGAGAACCAGAGTGCTCCAGTCCAGCTGTATGCTGAAAGCTGGTGCCACTGCACTACATGACAGTGAGACGGGAGGCTCAGCAGTATGAAGGTGAAGAAATGGGATGCCAATGACATCATACTACTATACAGGGTCAGTAAAGTTATCATCATCATCATCATCATCATCATCATCATCATCATCATCATCATTTCATGCTAATAAAAAAGTAATACCAGGTAAAGAATCATCAATAATTTGAGAATTATCCTTTTATTTTTCCTGGATTCTATTTTAGAAAATATTGGTAGCACAGATAGCATAGGAATGGCTTTTGCTATACCTCGCTTCTCATTGGCTGCATACGAATGGCTTCTGAATAACTTGCTTCTCATTGACTGCTCCTTTTAGCAACTTTAGTCTTCAGTTCTCGGTTCTCAGAGGTCAGCATGCTTTCCCAGCTACTGACCTGCAGATTCAGTACTCCCTCTTTCCACACAGTGTACATCCCCAGACTCACCCTTTGGTTCTTTGTTTTGTGATTTATCATTTCAAAATGATCACTTCCTCCACAGTGAGCAATGTATCTGACACTTTTTAAATGTCTTTTTACTGGAAAAAAATATGCCACACTGGAGTAGGCCTTTGCTCATTCATTTCTGAATTCTATCACTGTTCATAATGCAGCTGACCAAATAATTTAGTTATGTGGAATAATAGTTCATGCAGTAGTATATAAAATTCTGTAGCATCGCTCCTATTTGCATCATCACAGTGATCAGTGGCTATTGTGAATTTGTGAATTAGTACATAATGCATTGAAAACTGTCCAGCTGTGATTGTGAAAACTTCAATCCCAATTGAAAGGGTTTCTTTAATAAGATCATGATTTCCTCTAACCTAGTGATTTATAAGGGGTGTCTTAGTTAAGTATTTATAGGATATGACTTGTATCAGGATTGTGATTTTCATTTTCTTTCTACATGCACAATACAACAGTAGAAAGGTTCTTGGATGATCAACTCAAAGTACTTTGATATGTCAGTCAGAAATTACATCTTGCAGAGATTCAGAGAGTATACTTAAATATTCGGTTACTGACTGCTATGTTTTGGAATGTTAGGCATAATATTTAAAGTGCTTTGATAGGTCATTCAGAAATTGCATCTTATAGAAAGTAATGATTTTAGGGACAGGGGATGTAGCTCAATGGCTTAAGTGCCTACCTGGTAAGTGCAAGATTCTGAGTTTGATCCTCCTTACTACACACAAAAAAATGACTTTAGAATACAATTAAATTTTTAGCTACTGACTTTATAATTTGAAATGTTGGGTTTTTTCAGTCTTTTTATTTGATACATGGTTTCTCTCTGCAACTCAGACTCATAGTGATCCTCCTGTCTCAGCCTCCCCAGTGCTGGGATTACAGGCGTGCACCAACATGCTTGGTTTCAGCGGCCACTTCAGTGTGGAGACAACTCAGCATGCAGCACCAAGGATCAAACCCAGGTCCTTGTGCTTGCCAGGCAGATGCTTAGACCACCAGGTTGTCTCCCCAGCCCTCTTAGGCATAATTTTTAAATTCTTATATGGTAGATTTCTCTTCATCCTCTTGGACATGGAAGTATTGCTACATACTCATCTGATATTTAAATAACAAATGAGAAACAGTGTACTTTACTATCTAACATCTTACACTTACCAACTTGAAAGTTGGCTTATCTGTGTGAAAATCCACATTCGAGTAAAATGTCACCAGACAGCCTTTTCTTCTATTAATAACCCTTAATTGTTTACTAAGCAGCAGAGTTTTAGAAAATGCAGTCTTGAGGCCAGTGATATAGCTCAGTAGTACAGCGCTGTCCTGGAAAGTATAACATCCTGAGTTCAACTCCTGGTACAGGGGGGAGAGGGAGTGGGAGAGAGAGAGAGAGAGAGAGAGAGAGAGAGAGAGAGAGAGAGAGAGGCGAGAGAAGAAAGGAAAGAGAAGAAAGAAAAAAAAAATAACCCCTGGGAAAGTGGGAAAGGCAGGATCAAATTTTTCATCCAAGAGTATATTCTGAAACTATGCAATGGATGGAATTTTTTATATACATGCTCAGGAAGAAGGAAATGTTTTTATTTCTTCAAATACATTTGAAAAGGATGTTTTGATTTATTCTTCATAGCTGATTGTTTAGATATCTTCAGAAACTAGCTCACATAATCTTCACTTTACACATTGTTTTACTTCCTTTATGAACAAAAGAAAATGCAGGGGGAAAATTAGGTATTCTACTGCCCCAAAGGTCATTTTAGCTTTAAATCCATTCTAAAAAAACTGTATGGTTCCTCCAAACTTACTACTGGAGGAATAACCAAGCTGCAAATCCTACACTACATCTGCAGCTACTTTGGATTTTAACCAGATGTGCAAGCTCACTTGTGAACATGGGTGTCCTGTCCATGCCTGGGGTATGGGCTGCTCAGGCCATGTCAGAGAACCAGGAACATCATGTTCTAGGAAGATCCGAAGGGCTGTGGAACAAGGAACAGACATAGGGATACCACACAGAACTGCAAATGTGGTTACCAAACTACGACCTTCACAAAGAAATTCTGAAAGGGGAAAAAATACACACACACACACACACACACACACACACACAAATCTAGTGTTAAAATCTAGTATAGTTTTAAAATGGCTTCAATTTTCAAAGTAGACTTTCAAGTTACCACAGGTGCTTCTTATATAGGCTGCAGTATATGTATCAATATATATGAATAACATGTAGTATTAATATTAACAACATAGTATCAATATATGCTAATCCATGCTCGCTAAGTAGACAAGTTGTCTAGAGGGGGAAATAGCAAGTGAACATAACCAAGGTGTAGTAATAAAATATTTGATCTTTAATCATTTCCAGTAAAATAATATTTGAGAGTTCCTCTGCCCCACCCACACTCATAACACAACACACCGATGTTTAAATATTTTCATAATGGCCAAAGAAGGAGTTTACATGGACATGTTTATTAGTGGAACTCACTTTTAAATAAGGCAATTTTATTAAGCCTCTAGTTAATTTCAATCAGATCAGTTCCCTTGGAGATATGGAATGGTCCATGTCTGGTATCATGAGTAGATTTTCCTCTGGCACATCCAGGACCATCTGATCTAGGCTTAGGTACGTGTACTTCGTAAAGTCCTTTCCTTCATCTTCAGCCTCTACTAAGGTGAACAAAGGCGTCTCCAGAGGCAAGTGGATTTCTTCCCCTCTCTGCCCTTCCTCGGGCCCTTGCTCTTGCATCCTCCTCTCTTCCTCCTCTTTCCCCTCTTCCTTTCTGTCATCCTCTTCGACCTCCTCCTCCTCCTCCTCCTCTTCTTCCTCCTCCTCCTGTGCACCTTCATCCTCTGTCTCTGCCTCTTCCTCTTTCTCGGTCTCCCCCTCCTCCTCCTCCACCTCGCTCTCCTCTCCATCAAATTCCTCTTCATACACCACCTCCTTTGCATTGCACTCCACGCATTCCTCCTGCTCCTCCTCCTCCTCCTGCTCCTCCTCCTCCTGCTCCTCCTCCTGCTCCTGCTCCTCCTCCTGCTCCTTTATCTCTTCCATCTTTTCCTCCTCTTTCACCAGCTGCGGGGCAGAGGATTCGTTTTCCTGCGCGGGTGCAGGACTCAAGACTAGAGAGGGATCCTGCAGGTAGCTGTAGAACGTTTCCTGCAGCGCCGAGTTCTCCTCGCCGTCACTGGGGGGCGCGTCGCCGTCGCCGGCTGACCCTGAGCTGGCCCGCTGCGCCCTCTGCGCCCGCTGCTGGCGTTCCTGCTTCTGCTGCTGCCGCATGTCCTCGTAGATCTGATTCATGATGAACTGCGTGGTGTTGCGCGGCGCCCGCATGCCCGGCGCCCGCCAGCCGTACAGGTTCACGGGTCGCAGCAGCATGCTCAGATCCACGGGCGGGCTCCTCCTCCGGAAGCAGCCGCGCGGGGGGTGCCGCACGCGGCCCCGGCGACCCCAGCGCTTCTTCCTGACCCGGGGCCCCTCCCAGCCCGGGTTCCAGGACGCGCACCAGCAGGAGCAGCAGCAGACGCAGAGCGGGTGCAGACCGAACATCCGCATCATTTCCAACGGGCATGGGGGCTTCTGGAATACCCCCGGAGGGGGGCTCCAGGGCCCGCCGCAGCGCCCCCAGTTAGGGTACCAGCAGGGCCTTCGCGGGGGCTGGAACCAAGGGCCCGGGGCATGCCAGTGCTTGGGCTTTTTCCTGGGGGGCTCATACCCGGGCTTGCGGCCTTGGCTGTAGCGTTGCTTGTAGATCGGAGCTCCTCTGCGCCTTCGACGGCAGGAAGACCAGGTGCCTAAGGGGGCAGAGGAGGACCATCCGCCACCCAGATTGAGAGGGTCTTCCTTTTGGAAGAGGGTCTGGGTCATGGTTTCAGGAGTTCCCCGAGGCCTGAATGGGAGCGTCCTAGAAGCTGTCGTGAAAGGTGGCCAGATCGGACGGCGTGAAGAGCGTCCTCAACCTGTGTCGCCGCGCGACGCCGCGTGCCTGACTCTGGGCTGGCGCCGGCCTTGCCAGGAGGACCCTCTCTTCCCTTCTCCGCGTTCTAGCTCTTCCGTAGTAATCGCTTTTCCTTCGCACCCGGGTTGTCTTGCCCAGGTGGGCTGGATGGGACTGGGGCTGGGATGGATGGTGGGGGAGGGAGGTGTTGGTGGGCGACACACGGTGAGAGCGGCTCCGGAGCCCCACGTTCACCCACCTCTGCAGAGGCGCGGCCGGGGACTGGGGAGGCAGGCGGTGCGCGTTCACGTGGCTGCTCCCTCTCAACCCAGGTGCTTCACGGTGGCCGTCCTGGCCGGACTGAGCGGACGCGGGCAGCGGCGGCCCTTAAATAGTCTCTGGGGGCCTGGTGTGTCCATTGCGTTCTTGGTTGCCCAGGACGACAGCCAATCCGGGTGCAGGTGGTTAGTCCTGTCGCTGGAGGTGGGGGGTCTGGCAGCTGCTAAGAGACCTTAGTGAACGTTTGTGACGTGGTACTGGAGAGGTTAGGGGGAAGGGACATGACAGGGTGGACTATGACAATCCTGGAGGTGATTTATAGAAACTTTTTGAACCTCCTGAAGCCGGGTCTGAGTAATTTGGAATATGGGTCTTGAGCTGAACCAGATTGGGTAGGAGAGTTATTACTTAAAAACCCCTATTGTACATCTTTATGAGTGGACGAGGGCAAAGAAAGGCCCTACAGCCAGAAATCCGGGCCCCTCTGTACACCTAGGGCCAGTTTGCCGACTTCTTCAGAAGTCCGGATTGAGCACGTGTGACACATCACCACAAAGCCCCTCTTGCCGCTGTCCTGCACATCGTCCCCACATCCACCCTCACAGTTTGTCACGCTTCCCACTCTCTCAGGGTAAGGACTGAGAGGTCACTTTGCCCAAGGTAGTGTGACTAACAGACTTCAAGGCTAGATTTAAGCCTGAGCCTGTCTAACCATTGAATTTTTAACCACCTCACTATCCTAGCAACCCACCTTAAGTAGGGCTTTTGTGATTAATCAGATATGTATGGGAAAGAATTCTGCTCATTGTAATATGCCACATATGTGCCCATTGATTAAGCAAAATTTATGACCAGGAAGAAAACTACGGATTTGGTTTTCAGAATATTTCAATTATGCCTTTAGTTTCTTCACTGACTACTCATTCCATACATTGGGAATCAGACTTAAGGAATCCAAGTTAAGCACGTGGGTTTTTATTTAGAGTTCATTTGGCTTCTGCTCAATTTATAACCCCTCGACGTCTCAGGTTCGATAACCACAGTTAGTGTGGTTTTCTTATAGTACCTGTTCCACAGGGATCTGTGAACAATGACATAAGGTAGTTCATTAAAGCAGGAACCATAGGAACTCATAGGTACTCAGTAACTGTCATTGTTATCATAGTCATACTTTTGGAAGAGTTGGTACAATAATTGTAAAGGCCCTGATGCAACAATGGGCACTGCCATTGCCTTGTGTCCTTTTATTGTTTCACTTGATACAAACTTCAAGGAGGTGGTACAAGGCCTGGTCCTAGGGATAACAATCTCAGAGTATGTCCTTTCCTTTTTCTTTTGCGGGGTAGGGGAGGGAGGAGGGTTCTGACACAGCTTCTGCTAGGCAGTTCAGGCTGGCCTTAAAGTCACTTTGTAGGCCAGGCTGGTCTCAAAATTGCAACAATCCTTCCTGCCTCACTGTCCTGAGTGCTGGGATGACATGTGTGCATCACACCAGGCTGTATGTTCCATTTTATTACCTTCGTGTAGTAAATGGTTATACAAGATGGAATACTGAGTGCTAGGAAGCTCAGTCTATTAAATGATGAAGAAGCTAGATGTGTGAAGACCCTGAGGTCAGAAAAGGTCACTTACATTCCTTGGCTGAACACCGAGACCAGAACTGAGAGTTGTTGATCAAGATGTCAAGGCTATCCTTCAACTTACACAGGCTTTACTCAATTTCTCTGGTTTCGTTCAATTCATCTTGCTCTGTGGTTTGTAGAAGTGTACTTCTGTGAGACTCAAATCCCATAATGTTAATGCTTTTACCATGGTCCCTTATACAGACTCACACCTCTGACAGTTATTTCAATCCTGTCCTACTTAACTCAAATGGGGTGGCCATAGTCCACATTTTTCTAAAGACATGTCTCGTACAGTGTGTACTTTTTGCTCAAGAACTATACAAATTAACTATGGTATTTCAGTGGAATCCCATTATTTGTTCTCTAATAAAGATCATTGACTCATTCTCTAAATAATTAAGGCCATGATTTTTGATCAGTTGATATGACTTTTGTAGGAATAATTTTTGTTAAAATTCTTTCTCCTTACTAAAATCAATTGACTAAGTATTATTTTGTGTCAAGTTGCTTAAAAGACATAGCAAAAAATAAAAGACATAGCAAATTGGAAATCATAAAATAGCAAAGTATAAAAGATATAATTTTTAAGTTTCTCTAAGATTATAACTGTAATACAATTCCAATTCTGATTCTAATTCTAACCACCCAAGACAAGTTATTATCAGAGCATGTTGAGAATAACAGTCAGAAACCCAATTGTGAAAGTTTAAATATACATTTCTAATTGACCTATAGTCTTTAAATACTGAAAATGAAATATCATGTTTCAATACTACACTTATCATGTTGCTATATATTCTGGGTTTTTTTGTTCATGTATAATAAATCACCACAAACTTAGTTAACTGAAATGATGTATGTTTATTAGTGCAAAGGTTCCAAGTGGTAGGAGCTTATTGGAGACCTTTGCTTGGGATATCTCCAGGAAGGTGAGGAAGGTGTTGACTGGGTCTGAGTTCTCATTCCAGAAGCTTGTCTGGGAAAACCCACACCCAAAATCCTACCTGCCTACTTCTGGCAGAATTCATTTCCCTGTGGCACTATGAAGTTTCTGCTTTTTTACTACCTGTTGGCTAGAGGCCACCTTCAGGTCTTGAAGACCACATATCAGGAGCCACTAGAAGTTCCTAGAAATTTACCCATAGTTCCTTGCCTTGAGCTTCTTCAATGGCTATTTAGTTCAGCAATCCAGCAGAGAATCTCCATAGTTCTTCCCAGCAAGATGGATGTGTACAGATATAAGTAGACACTCTCCGTGTGAGTGTTTGAGTAATAATCAAGGCTATGACATTAGTAACAGCCATCATCTTTGTCATGTTCTGTTATTAAAAGCAGGGCTTAGGTTCCATCTGTGTCCAAGGTAAGGGGTCAGTCACAAAAGTAGAGAGCCAGGAAGCAGAATATCATTGGATATGGGCCACCTTAGAGTTGATCTGCCATATGTATGAAGTAAATCTGGTGAAATGTCTAAATTATGACCTTTGGGTTCACTAGTAACAATTTTATGTGGGAAACATTAAAATTTCTATACATGGCCTTAGATGATTCTGTGTTTTATGATATGCTTATGATTACTGCCTTAATTTGAAACCAAATTACAATATTGCTCTGAATTTTTGTGCATTTGTGTCAAGTGGAAAGAACTTATTCTAACACTTGGTGGCAGTACTAGCTCATTTACAAGTCAGTTGGGAGGATTTTTACAGACAACAATGAGAAATAAATACCTCATCCTAGCATTTCTGTTATAAACTCTGTATTAAAGCTTTTATTCCAAGTCAACAATATTAATTATCAATTATTATTGCGTGGTAGATTTGCATATATTTATGAGATTTCAACACTTCTCATTTGGCTGTTAAAAAGTAAGCTTCAGCTGGTTAAACTTCTAAAGGAAAATTCTTCAGTGAGAAGTTGGTTATACTATATTTTGTTGTGTAAAATGTAACACCACAAATATTTAAAATCCCATTGTAGATATCTAAATTAGATATAAATTAATATACTCTCAGAGACAGACTGGGCACTTAAGGAAGTCAGTACAAAAAAGGGAGCAGAACTGTGGCCAGAGGAAAATCTAGAGAACCATGCCTTGGGCTGGAGATGCAATGGCCAGCCCTGCAAGATGCATGCCAACTTGAAATTATACTGTGGTTTCGCCATCTGGACCAGTGGACCCAGACAGGCATCGGGCACACGGGTAGGTGACCAAAACAGCTGGACACGTACTCTCCTTTCTGTCCCCTCCGAAATGCCTTTATTCCTTCCCTATACCCTCTTTATTAATCTACTGAATCAATATTAGCTAAGTGATTACACTTGTTAGGTGGTTTGATCTGCATTTTGCCCATGTTCTGATTTTGTTGTATAAACTAACCCTGACAAAAGGACTCTTAGGCCACTACTTCTGAGACTCCTCCTGTCGTCTGTCACTAGGAAGCTTTCTTCTATACTTAACCTCCGTTGTCCCTTGGAATTCATTCTTCCTTACAGGGAGGACGTGATTCACCACAACTGACATCTATCAGATTGAAAACCATCTACTTAGATAATGTGTTAAGGGACGCAAATATATATAAATAATTAGAATGCATCATGCTCCCTGCCCAAGACTTGCCTTTTCCACAGCCAGAACACGTATGCTTGGGATTTCATTGTAAAAGCAATACAACTCCCTCTTTAGCAGACTGTGTGTTCTGTCTTATACTGGGCTTTTTGAAAGTGAGATAAAGGGTTTTCAAAATTATTCATTGCTTTCTCAATAATTTGAGATGCTCAGAGGCTGGTTTGCAAATCTGGTGATGTGTGCGCATCAAGGAACACTATTCCTTGTGTCCGTTATGAACACTGAAATCCGTGTAAGCAAATCATGAAGACAAAGTGAACTGCAAGGTGATGACAAAGTGTCTTTTCCTACAGATTGAATGGAGAGAGAATGTCAGCTTTGTACTCATAACAGCATTACAGGTAGGTATTATTTGCTACCGCCTTTTAAAGACACTCTTAATCCTATAGATTTTCAGAGAATACGTCAGAATGCATCATGACATCTAAAAGATATGTGCTCAGTAATGATTAGACAGGAATTGGCAGCCTAGGCATGTTTGCATATAAATAATTTTAAAGTAGCATATATCCCAGGACAATAGGATGCTACTTATTTTATTTCCAATTTATCTTAGAAACAACCTGTAACAGTCAAATAGAAATAAACATAAGTAAATTGAACAAGAAAAGAAGTTGTGTCATTTAAAAATGTGTTTGGGGTCTTGCCTGATAGTTCCGTTGTTTAAAGCACCTCATGGGCAAATTCAGGCTCAGGGGACCGCGGTTCGATTCCCAGCCCCACAAGCCATAACACACCTGCCCTTAAGGCAGCCAGAACTAATCAGAAAATATGTCTAATCAGGGATCAATTTTAGAATTAGAACTGCCAGTTAAGAGGATGAGGCGTTTGAAATGGCCACACGGTGGATTAGGATTTGAGTCAGGT